ATACAAAACGGAAGAGATGATGAGTGTTAGGGAGTAGTGGTGGGATTTGAACTAAAGTCCTCTGTGGCGATAAGTCGGTGACCTTTATCGCCTGATGACGGATTCGGCAAATGCTGCTTTAAGGTGCAAAGACTTGGTCATTACCGGAACAGGATAAAAATAGACTGTCGGTGTTCGAACATCACTGTCTACGTCGCATTGCACGAGTGTGATGGGGTAACCGGACGCGCAATGCTGAGGATAGGTTCAGAGTTTTAGGCAGTCGTAGTCGTCCACTGGATCAGGTGATCGACCTCCCATCACTATTCTATATGATTTCCCCATCTTCCGCTTGAATTTCCTTTGACATTCCAATCTTCATTCTGCTTTTTTATCCAAATGGGCAATCGAAAGACAGTAATCAAAACCAACTCACGAAAGTGCATGGTTATTGGTGGTAAGAACTGAACTGAACTGAACTGATCACGGATTAGCCGAAAAGTTGGTTTGGCCTTAGCCAAACAGGATCAAACTCATCCGTCTTGCAAACCCATCGTAAAAAACAACTAACTTCATCCAACTTAGTTTTCATCCCGAGGTGCAATGAAGATTGGAAACATTCAAAGCTGCTTGCTTACTTCAAGAGTGGTATGTGCGTGTGTGTGTATGTGTGTGTGTGTGCGAATCATATGATTATCTTCATTATTGTGTACAGCTGGTAATCACCTGTTTCGAACTGATTGGATTTTATTTCGTTGCATGACTTCATCAATCCAAATGAAGATTGAACGCGGGATATCGAAAGTACAACGTGGGCACGCAACCAGCTCGATCGTTGATTAACTAACTGATCACAATTTGCCCACTTTTTCCTCATACTGTATAGCACACACATTAAATCTTCAAAAATTTGTTGTGAGTTGAAACACTCATTTTCCAATGGACACGTGAACAAAGAGCAAATAACTACGAGATTGCGCGCTTCATTTTCCGAATTGTTTTGCTGTTTTCAATCTGAAGCGAACTGCAGAGTTGAAGGATTGTGTGCATTAAGAAAGAATGGCTATTACTTTTTTATTATTTTCACACACGCCCGAGTTCAGACGGTGTGTCGAATAAATCAAATCTTGATAAAAGAGAAAGACAAAGGTCTCATGGGCACGATACTGCCGGGTTGCCTAGGCTAAAGCAGGTGAATTTTCTTTGAGAGTTGTGGTGATCCGGACCTACGAGATGACGCGTACCCGGGAGGGATGCGTTACAGTTTTTGAACAAATGCGATCAATCAGACTTCACGTGTGACGTCAATAACGCACGTACGAATCACTGCTTCTGACTACATGCCAATCAGAGACTGTGCAGCCCAGACAGAAGCAGAAGGATGCCAGAAATACTGGAACGCAATTGGTAGAAGCCCAGATAACCAATGAGCCTACCCTGTACATACTATATAATCTCCTTAATTTCTTCCAATAAACGAACTGTTACTCCTGTGGTTTTTACTTCCCGTCTCTGTTACGTGGGATATCGCGCGCTAGTGCCACTACTACTACCACTATTACTATTACTACTACTACTACTACTACTACTACTACTATCACTACTGCGTATACAATCGGAGCCTCCGGCTATCCAACACCTGACCGCAAGGCAGCTGGGTGGTGTGAAAACTGCAATTCATTGGGAGCTGGTGTCCATGTGATGCATCTACCGACTGGGTTATAGCTCTGGAAAATGGCTTTTCGTTCTCTCAGTATGAGGCGGAAGCACCTGCACCCCACGAGAAGTCAATGAGTAGGGCTTCCTTAGCAGAAGGTATTTGAGATGGCGGGTTGTACGGGTGCATTTAATGAGGTGGTAGGGAGGGGTGACCAACCAGAATAAAGATATCAAAATCCTTCAAGTTGGCTTCCGTCGATTCATTGTGATGTGATGTTGGCCATAGAAGTTTGGTGAATCATAACGCGAGAGTTTTATGTAGTCAGCTACTTTCGAAGACGGACTCGCAGTCAAAACTAAACTTACAAACCAGGATGATGACTTTTTAGTTACACACCACTGTGGGATGAACAGCAGTCACGAGGACCTGCTGTTCAGTGTTGGAAACCGACAATCTGAGCCCTGGGACTTGGAGTGACTAATCACATAAAGCACCGATAGGTTATGCTTGCTATTGAACCGGGTGACAACGGAACTACTTAACACCACTTGAGTCGCATGTTGCGTAATCCACTTCGTTCGATCGTTGCTCAGACTTTCTTTGGTATCTGCATTACGACACAATTGGATCAAAAACGCCCCTGGTCTCACCCTCTTCGCATTACCTATCGAATTGCAAATGAGTAACAAAAAATCACCGTTATCAAAACATAGCGGCTAAGCATGCGCGGCTTGTGTTCAGTCTGAGGGTAACAAAAAGAAAACAGTGCAATTACAGTCAAACAAAAATGAAATACACCAAAACGCTTGTGTCATCGCTCGCACGTCTTATGTGCACAACATGTCAGCAGGTCGATAGGGATAACTGTCTCTGTCACTGGAAGATTTCGATTACCACGACTTGCGGAGACCGTAATGAGCAGTTGATGAAACCCTAGAGTATGCCAAAATAACGAACTTTGTCAAATTTGTTCTACCCCAGAAAAGTGTCCGATTGTTGCACGTTTTCCCATTGCAATAATAATTATCCCTTTTTTTAAGGTACATCAAGCACCAGATGAGATGTAGGAAAATGTTCAAGAAAAAAAAAACAACGCGACCTGTCAATTTTCTGTCCTAATTGTGAGTAAGAAACCTGATACATTTTATCAATGACTCGTAATGATTACGCTCAATTCGACTAGCTTCATATTAACGGCAAAATGATTCCGGATACGCAGTACACGACGAGTACGAGGTGCAGGTGATCAGGCAAGGAAAACGTGATCTGTAATCTTTTATTTTTGAATATTTTTCAGTGATTGAAACTCACACAGGACCAAATATCAACAGCCCAGAACAGCTAACAAGTCATAAGGGTCGCTATACTCGAACTGTAAGAATGAAAATCAGCAGATGTCACCTGGGGTGGGGGGTGGGGGTGATTTTCTACGACTAAAAATGTGATTTATAGCAGCAACAGAATGTGAACGTTTGAAAGCTGCTTTGATATGTGGAATTCGATACGAATCACCAATATCTGTAGTGGAGGTCTTTATTGAAGTGTTCGAACGCTTCCCCTGTCCATCGGCATGGTTTGGCTGGTTAATCAAACGTTTTGAGTGTATGGAACTGTGCATGAACGCTAGTGGAGAATACTTCGCGGATTTTGCAATGCTTATGTTTGCCTCACAAATAAAAATCTTTGTTAACTTGCAAACATTCTGCTCAGCCCCCGTATTATTTCACTTTATGGACGATAAGTTCGATTTCACACGGGCCGACAATCATTAACACCACATGGAGAAAGTTTTACTTATTACTCCAACAACTTTATTATCTTACCACATCGTCGAAACTTCCTTCTGCGTCTTAAATTGTTTTTCAAAATCCTATTTATTACGTTGCAATTCAATTGTTTTCCTTTCGGTCCCGTCATTTTAATCCACTAGTGTGCTGTCAAAAAACTCCTCAATGATCCCATCTTTATCTGCAGTGGCATAGATTAATCTATATGTCAATTTGTAAGTGCCTAACATGGGAGGTCAAACGGAATTCCTTCTCATTCTGTTCGCCTGGACGCTTTTGCACTGAATTGCTGTCTACTTGGTTCTCTCCTTTATCGATCTCAATTGACTTTGATAGCCATGCATTCAATCCGGTCGGAAATGGATTGATAGATTCTTGTTCTGTGATGAACGATCGGTCGATCCACAGTGAGCATTCAACTTATTCACATGGGTGTGTGTTTGTGTCTGTGTACAGTTTACATTTCTACTTCAAGCGTCCCAGCAAAATTCCATCTTTATAGAAGCTGAACTAGTACGTAGTCAAGTTCCCTCATGATAATTGTACTTCAAACAAAATAACAGTGGTGAACAAGCACGTTTTCACATATTCCTATTCAAGCCACTCTGTTGTGTTTGTTTGACCTGTGCTCTGTGTAACTATATGGACAAGCAGTGTTTTTATTTTATCGTCAGTTGTATAAAGCACCATGTTGAAATCCAATGCTCAAAAGGTCGACCGAAAACTTGTGCATGATCGTTTAACCCTGGATCCGGTTTTCTCTTCACCGTTTGCTCCCACTATTCACATACACACACACAAACACATACATACACACACTGTGCCCGTCGATTCCTGTCCGAGTAATTTTCACCCACGGCAGTTCAATGTGCCATTGAACAGATTGGGTTTGAAAAAAAAATCGATCGCACGGATGACGCATCACAATTCGATATCAATGTTGTGGTGATCTAGGGTGGTGAAACACGTGCCCCCCCCCCATTCCTCTCCCATTTCAATCAATCCCCGTGACTTTTGAATGACTGTATGTCAATCCCCGTTCAACATGTCATTTCCTTATTTGATCTTTGCAGGCTAGAAGATGAATCAATGAAAACAACTGTTCGCCTCTGAATGTGTGTTCTCATATCAACATGGGCATATTCTGGAAGTTGAAACAATTAATCGCTTGACGCCATAGAAACAGATTGCGGGACTTACTGTTTAGTTCACAATGCGGAAACGGAAGAAAACTTATTCTTATCAATGAAACTGATTCAAGCACGCGCGCGCACACACACACACACATAAAAGTGGAATTTAAACACACTCCTGGTGTACTAATAAAACCTTATTCATAATGTCAAGTTTTTGAATCGTCGATTTTGTTTGGCACCGTGTAAGCGTTTCGGCACACAATGGATTAGGAATGCACTGGGAACGTTGGGCCAAATTTGGTCGCGATAAGAATTTGATTTTGTAGTAAAGTCTCACACTAAACATGGACCTCCTTGCACAGTTGTGCACCTGATTTACCTTTGGTTCACACGTGGTTAACCAAGAAGCACATTCTGCTGGTTCTATCGTAGACCTACCTTTTTTCGCGTTGCAAAACGGGGAATCCGAATTGGCCAGATTAGAGATGAAATGCCGCAATACAACTTCGTCTTTCAATTTCGATCGCTTGAAGTCTGCGTTGGGGGAATAAAAAAAACAAGTTTATGATCAATACAATGTAATCAATCAGACTAAACTGTGTTTCAATGTCTAAGAGATTCCCATCACAGCATTTGGAACAAATACAGTTTGGCGAAACAATTGTTTTTCAGTAATTTCTTCTCAAGCAGTTCACAGATTACATAGGTAACATTAGAAAAAACAGATCACACAATTAGACACATCAATCATGGGTAAGAGTTTATCATAGTTAACCGGTATCTGTCATTTGATTGGGCGACTGGACGACGGACACACTCGGGACCGATCGATCACGGGCCATGGAAGTTGGAAAAACTGAGCCAAACGCTTTTGGGCGCAGAGGTCAGGAATCAACTTTCTTACCCCGATCGCTTCGACTATTGCTAGGGTGCGCAGCTGCACACCTTTGCAATTAGTGTGGGGGACACGATAAACAACTCTGAAGACAACGTCCGGATTTACTTGATGTCCGGTGTCGACCAAATGGGCTAGGATGGAGCTGTTTATCGATCCGGTCTGTCCTAGTCTTAACCAGCTTGGGTGATGCTCTTTGATCCGGGTAGATAGCTGTCGTGCCGTTCGACCAACATATGATGCGCCACATACGCATCTGAAAGAGTATACAACTATCGACAGATTATCCTTGTTTTGAATATCGATCATTGGAGGGCCACGAAACACGCATCGTAACTTAGCAGCGTTGAAGAAGTTGCCAATCTCCCTGTTCAGTCGTCGAAGTAGGATTTCGCTCACGGTATTGCCTTTGAATGGCAAACTGATGAACAAGTCTTTCTTTCTCACAGTTTGCATGGGAGTTTTCGGTATTTGTTCAATCAGATTTCTTTCGATAAAATAATCCAGGTATCCATTCTCACCCAAGGTGCTTCTAATGCGCGTCAGCTCATCGTGCAACACCTCCTCAGAGCAAATTACTCGCCCTGGTGGCCAAGCATTTGACTAAGTTGGATGCTAACGAAACTATTGAAATTGGCGTACTGTGAAACTGTGTTTCATCAAACTGGGAAGCACTGAGCAATATGCAAAGTCAAAAGCAGATAGATAACCTTCGCAGATGTTTTTTTGAGAAAGACGTGGGCCAGATGATGTGGACTGAGTGAGACTGATTGGAAAAATAATACTTTCGGTGATAATCAACAAACTAATTGTCAAAAATTTGATTCTAATTTGTGAGTGAACCCAAAATCACGTTGATAAACTCGTTAGCACAAATAGGGCTAAGTTCAGATTCAACAGAAGGTTATTTATGAAAATGGTTGCCACGGAATGTTTGTTGCTTTATCCGCTGTTCTGCGATTTCGCAGAACTTCCGTCCGGGATTGAGAGGACGAAGAAGGATAAAATGATTGACCGTAGACCAATGAACTCGAATCTGTCTCACGAGGTAAACGTTCATAGTTGGAGTAAGCATCTGTATCTGTCATGTAGTTCGTGATCAGTTACACCACATACAGAGCAAGTGCTGTGGGGACTTGAAAGCTCAGATGCATCGTACAAGTGATTCGACTCTGTAGGGTTGCATCAGCTAGGCACAGCCGTCAACGCAACAGATTGGATGGAAGGCTGGATCTCACAGGTTAAACATAACTACAATACGCACTCGACGACGGGCAGCTAATGAGGCGATTGTAGTTCAAGTTAAAATATGATTTAACACATCTGACAGTTACCAGCTTTATGTGAGTATATCGTTTCTTTTAATCTTATCACACTATCACACTATTCAAATGTTACGGATCGCTTGGAGATATCCCGATCATGACAACACTTCAAAAGGAATAACAAGGAGTATATAAGTGATTGAAACCCTTAGGTGGTGAATGTTTGGACTATAAAGCATTCGGTTTCTGTAGGCATCATGAACTGATGATGATCTTTGGTGTGGGTTTCACTCCTTGGGGGATCATTAGTTCCTCACCAGCTGAATCCAATTAAATGCGCGAAAGATCTTTGTGATAACCGACAAAAGAGCACTGGGACAGCTGTTTTGTTCTGTTGGGAACTCGTCAGTAGTGAGAACATGTTATCCCCTTGTGAGCAGACGAACTGCGTACTTTCGAGTTGAGACTTCAAACCCCTACCCCTGAGCTACACGGTCGACGGTCATCATCTTGTGCGAATGGCTCGAACAAGCTTAGATGATGAATTTTCGGATTAGTCTATTCGGCTTTTCACAAGCCCCAGACGCTGTTTATGACCTGACAGGGATAGAAAATGTATGTACGCAGTGTTGACGAGTTCCATACAGGATCAATAGTTGTCCCGGTGCTCTTTTTCGGCCATTGCAAATATTTCCATCCTATAAAATGGTAAAACCTTTGATGTTAACCAAATGTTCTGCATAAACCTTCCTTCATCCAATCAACCACAAACACACGTACGTAAGAGGTGCCAGACTTGAACTTTGTTCGCTTGAGAGATCAGTATTGGTAGAAGTTCCTATGTTTGAATCTCAAATTAACTGCACGCTACGGCTTTAGTTCATATGTCCCATAAACGACTGCAACACACACATACACACATATCAGTGTTTAGGCATTGAGGAAAGTATGACAAATTGTCCAACGATATTCTCTCTCTATCGCCGAATCAAGTGAAAAAAGACTTCGGCACGTGTTATACATGACCCCTTGGCAGTGGTGGGTAAGTGGTTACATCACCAAAATATGACCTGGAGTCCCCGATTGGAACCACTCCACCGCTTACCCTCTTCCCTATTCCTGTATTTTCCCCGGGCAGCATTTTTACGGCCGCGGCCTCCTTCTTGAATGTTGACTGTAAATTTGTATATTCAATAAAAAAGGAAGTAAAAAGACCAAATGAACTGACTGACTCTCACTGAAGACACGACCTGAACAAACATGAATTAGCAATTCGGTTCAATCATGGCATAAGCTGGTTGGCACAGTGGTAACACATACGCCTTCCATGAGATGGGTCCGGAGTTCAAATCGCGGACGGGACGGTGTATGTGCACTACTGATGAGCTCTAATTAGAGCGAAACTCAGGTCTAATACTTCCGAATGTATAGTTGAGTCGATGAACTGAGAATTGTGTGTGAAGGTGATGTCCAAAGGATAGCCATTCAAATCAATCAATATCAATTATCCCGCACACACTATTCAAAAGTGACTGTGAGTTAGATGCGGACATTTATTTTATTATTATTTATTCAATGTCCACTAGTGCAACTTTGGAATATAGCCAATAAATAGCTACACGGCATACCCGCGTGATCACACAGCTTCCTTCAATCAATCAGCATGTTTCATTTTGCGAACTATTCGTGAGGTGTTTGTTTGAAATCGGATGAAATGAAATACATTTTGATGTATTCGCAGATGCATTCCTACGGAACATTGACAATGATGATGTAATTTCATCCACGGGTGGTCGCAGCACTATTTCAATAGGACAGAAAACGACTGTACAATGAAACGTAGTCAATGAGTTTGTAATTATCTTGTGCATCTTTTAAAGTGACCAGTTGTTGAGGAAATTGTAGTTATTCTCATTCGATTGTGTTATATCACTTCAGTGGATAAAGCATACATTGAGAAATTAATCAGGTATGTAAAAGGTATCACTGATGAGTCAGGTAAAAGTACTCAAATAGACTGAAACATTATGATCTACTTGACCATTGGAGAACCACTTGACAGATATCAAGGTCATTTCGTTATACAGAAAAAGGCATGGTTACCGGGATCACGGGACCCACTTTGACGATAAACGATATCAAAGTTGTACTATTGTGTTTCTAAGAATCTTGACATCCAGATCGTGAAAATCTATTCCACATCCCACAACATTCCTATCAATCTGGTCACAGTCATAGCACATTTAAGAGAGTAGAGTGTATCTTCAGTCTTTCCCGCTCCTCACTTCAAATGGACTGTGCTACCCTAAACTGTAAACCTGTGTCCAGGCTAACCTCAGTCCAGTACTTGAATGTCACCATCCACAGTACACTTCGATGTTCTACACACATTCACGGTTGTTTGAGAAAAATGAAACGTCTGTTTCTTTTCAGTTACGCAAACGTAGTCAATTCCGAACCTCACAGTCAGTCCTGTCCTCTTTCGTTCACCAATGCGTTTTACCCATTCTACTCCATTGCTCCCCTGTAGTGTTTTCCCGGCTATTTAAAACAAGACTTCAAAACCATTCGTCGTGCTTCGATGATAATCAGTCGTGCCAATCGATGATCCCTATCGACT